TCCATTCCAATCGTCATTGTGTTATTCATATTCCCTATCAAGTAATTATCAGTTCGAAATGAGCATTTGTCTCTGACGGTATTGTTGTTTTTTTCCGAATACTACACCAATACGGAACCGTTTTTTTGAGTGTAACGTGAAATATTCGCTTCAATAAAAGAAAAATGAAAATCTTCTGGCTGAATTCGGGATTTATATTTTAAAAAATGGGCTCAATTTATGGGTTATTTTATGGGTTCTCGACATAAGTTACCTTATTTTTTCTGTGGAATTGAAGAAGTCCTCCAAATAACTGAACACTCATTTCGCTGTCTTCTTACACAAGAGCGTGAAAAGTTCATCTCGCGGATGTAAGAAATTTTCCTTTGATTCACTTCACTGATTTATTTATTTTTTTAATTTTAAGCAAACAAAAAAGACGAAAGCGGCCGAACAGCTCTACATGTCGCTGCTGAGAATGGTAGCTCTGGAGAACTATGCTCACCAAATGGGAAAATGATTGAATCTATTTCATTGATCTGTTTCAGGTAACTTGGAGGACGTTACAAAGCTCCTCAAGAAAGGAGCCAAAGTTGATTCGACAGATAATGAACAGCGTAAACCTCTTCATTTGGCTGTTATGAATGGTAATGTTGCACGTTTATTTTCATAAAACAAGAAATTGGTTTGATCTTTCGCATTGAACAATGTAACTTTTCAGGTCGTAAGACTGTCGTTGATTTTCTCATCATGAATGGAGCCAATGTTAATTCTGAAGATCGCATTCATCAGACACCTCTCCATTTAGCTACTGAGAAAAGTAATTTTGAATATTTTCACTAAATAAGAGGAAGATTTGATCTATAACATTGATCGATGATATTTTTCAGATCACATGGAGGTTGTCGAATTGCTCATCGCAAAAAAAGCTAGAGTTAATTCTGTAGACATTCACGGGCGGACACCTCTTCATTATGCTGCTAAGAATGGTAATTTTGAATATTTATTTCCATAAAATGAGTAATTAATCTAGTCTTTCTCATTGGTCGATATTATTCTCCAGGCAACTTACAGATCGTTAAAATCCTTGTGAACAATGGAGCCTTTCTTACTATTAAAGATTATCAAAATCAGACACCTTGTCAGATTGCCTCAAATGGTAATGTTGAATATTTTTGTTTAGAAAAGAATGTGATTCAAACTATATTATTTTTTATAGTATTATATAATTCATATAACAAGGCGGTGGATGACTATCTTAAGGAGGTTGAAGAAAAATTACGCCGTGGACACCAGTGAAATCAATTGAAAAATCATATTTTTTCCTTTGAGTTCCGTATTCGATTGTCATGTAGAATATTAATTTCAATATATTTTTCTCAAACTTTAACCATATCAATGTTGCTGCTTGGTTCGACTGTATCGGTTATGATGGGAAAAGTTAATAAATCATATATGAATACTAAGCAAAAAGCTGTAAACTTCCGAATACACTCCTAATTTCAAAAAAACCTTAACTGTTTTATTTCAAAACCTTAAGTGTCAGAGACATATCTACCCGAGCATCACTAGTATAGTGCATAATATTAAACACACCCATTCATTTGCCATTGTTTTCAAATTCCACGCGAACAAATTACATCAAGTCTTAATGGGAATGGATGCGTTTAGTATTATGGTTTTTGACACTGGGTTGCTATGCCCATTGACACAATACTAGCGATCGTTGTATGTACTATTGCTGAGTAAAGTATCTTGACGATTGATAGTTGTTGGCAATCCTGCGATTGTTTCAATATATTTATGTTCATTGGGACTCACTCACTAAATTGCTGCATAGTATATTTAGTGACAAATCAGTAACAAGCAAGTTTCGACTGTGAGAAATGATACCTACGCTTGTGTGTGTGTTAATACGTTAGCATTGGCAATTAAACGTCGTTCTGTTTCTTCGTCTCACTTGCTCATGTGCGAAATTGCTTCATCGGCATTTTCTTGTTTGATATGCTTGCTCTCCATTTATGCCTTCCGTTCGTTCTTTCCAACTGTGTGTGTATCAAACACACACACTCTGAGGGAATTGCGCACTGGCTTTGACAAACGATTCGCCTGCACACATCTGAATGTCGCATTGAAAGGAATTTGATAGTAAATTAGTGTGAGAATGTTCGTGCGTTTGTTTTCAAATTATAATCAAATGATTATAAGAAGTAAACCATGAAAAAAAAATATTATTCCAAAACCATGACACTTTATATTTCAATATGATTTGTTCTGGATTATTTGTAATGAAAAATGCTTTTGCATCGGTGTCTCAATTGAAATAAAAATGTGTATCGATGTTTCATTTTGACATATTTTTTCAACTAAAGACACTTCATGTGCGCGACCGACTCGTGTTTATGTGTGTACACGACAAACCAATGGAAATACAAGTAAACGACTTGCGATTCGGATAGCGAAGCGAGCGTTTGTATGTGTTGATTTGTATATGATACACATCGTTGTACAATGTGTTGCAATTCTAAATGTTCTGTGTTCATATGCTTATGTGTATGTGAATAGTCGCTTTGACTGTTGTGTGTTTGTTATGAACGTTTTTCGGTTGGTAAAACTGCGCTTGTTTTTCAGCATTTATTCTAAACGTCAAAGAGTCGGATACTTTATTCATCGTTTGTACCTTTCGGTGCATACGTACATTGGCTTAATTCAAAACCAAATGGTTTCTCATTGGAACTTGTTGTTTACGTGTAACATTTCAGACGAATATTGAGTCCATTTACGTAACTTCACAGCTGTGCCTGCGTATTTCATCCACAAAAAAATAAGCAAATAGATGAAAAGCGAGAAGAATTCTTTGAATAGTTTGTTTCCGAATTCAGTCATTGGGAATTTTGTTTTCCTATACATGGCATAATGAGGACAAGTTTACAACATCCAACTTTTGAATATAAATTATACACCGAATTCGTGGAATTGGCTCATCTTCGAACTTAAACTAAGATTTTCGGATACAAATATTTTAGCATTTCCAGATTTTGATTACCTATCTCAATTTTTTTTTTTGAGTTATCGTGTTAACATACACCGACGATGACAACGACGATGGCACACGAACGGAAAAGTACCTCAAAAAGTGTTTTCTACGCGTTTCATGAGTTTTTATGATGTTCTAAACCAATTTTGCGAAAAAAGTTTTCGGGATCAATTCCTATACTTTCCCTTGACACGTTGTGTACGGAAAAGTAAAAGTAATTTTTACTTTTCCGCAAACTTTGTTTGTATGGAAAAGTATTGGTTTTACTAGCCAAAATTTCATGACATCTCCTCTTTCGGACCACTATAACGTCACTTCAAACTTCAAAAAGTACATATCTGTACACTAGGCAATGTAGATGGGATCAAATCCTATCGATCAAGACCTATCTGCCTCCAAAAATACGTAAAATAGCGATGTTCGTATGGCGTCGTCCGCGTTCGCGTTCGCGTTTGCGTTTGCGTTTTTTGTTCGCCGATTATCTCAAAAAGTTGACAAGATAATTGAGATCTGTAAAAGCCAAAAGTTTTGGCATGTCGAGACAAAGCTTCGGATTGATTTTAAGCCCATTCTGATTTACCAATTTCGTACCATAAGCCCTCCAACTGAGGACCTGAGAAACCTTGAAAAATGACACTTTTGTACGGGAGGTACCCGAAAAAAGCATATTTCAGGGTTTCGATCAAGGCAAACTGCCATTTTTTTGCAAAAATAATGGGAGCCTGCAAACAACCGAACACCTACTTGCCCATAAATTTGGTCCAAA